TTACGATCGTGTTCGTTTGCTGGCCGACGCGAGACCAGGCGAAAGTGTGCTGAAGGAATGCAGGAAAATTTACACGCTCGAGTTGCGCGAGTTCGCTCCTCGACGTGCAACAATGGGCCTTTAATTATCCGCGATTCGCCCGCGCTTCTATTAGCATGCAAATTAAAGAAGTTGAGTAACACGATTGTACGGCTGCACGGTGTGCGAAAAGGAGAGAAAGAGAGGAGAAAGATAACGGGGAAGAGAATGAGACGAGTGGAAGCAGGTGGCTGGAAAGAGAAGAGAGAAAAATCGAAGTAGAGTGGAATAATGAGAAAGATTGACCGGTCGAGAAAGAAAAACAAACGGGAGGTAATTGCGGCGGAAGAAAGAGATAGTGAAAGTGAAAGAAGAAGAATAGAAGAGAAATCTGTGAAATTGAGGGAAGTGTGGAATGAGGAGAGGAAAGAGCGTTCAAAACAAAATTGAAAAGTTTAGGGAATAGTCTAGTATAAAGAAATATACAGGGTGTTTCGTTTATCTTGTCCATTGCTTGTAGCGATACGAAAAAAATGCGACAGGACAAAGTTAATAGAGGGAATATTGTAACTAATGTATTGAACCTTCAGAGTTTTCAATGTCACAGGAATTTCTTTACAACTATGGTACATTTTGTTGTCATATTGTTGTAGTGAACAAGAAATATTGATAGTAATGTATAAAAATCTGCACCTCAGTGCTGGACTGACCCAAATTCTGCCTTATAATTTTACAGTAGAACAAAAAAACGTCAGTGATTACACGTATTAACAATATGGTACTTGAAGTTATTCAAATAATTAAATCTGGTTTATTTAACGAGTAACGTAAATTGGTCCGTATGGATCTAATAAAGTAAAGAAAGAGCAGCTTATATTGTTTGAGGCTTTCGAGTGTAAGCCGTGTCCTTAAGGAATTATTGTCCCAACGTTTCGCTGTTGCTGAACAATTAAAAAGAGTTCCCTCTCTCTGAGTGGTGCTCGCTGAACCAGAACCGAAGCATGAGCAAGATCCACTATATTAGTGGAGCATTACGAAGCACACACCATTATCGGTGTGTCTTCAGACCCCCCCCCCCTTTTTACGTGGGGAAATCCTCATGGACACCCTGCCCCCTCCCTCAGGGGGCGGGGTAGTGCCGGACTCTCACCGGCTAAAACCCCACGGTGGTCCTTCCTCAGCGTTGTGGGATGGGCGAACACCACCGGACCCACCCCACCTCTGGCCCCTCCCTCAAGAAGAGGGAGGGGCGCCATCCCGGAGGGGGTGAACACCACCTTTAAGGCACCGCACCCTACCGCGGGCCGCGTGCAGTAAGTTGCCGGGTCCCCCATCCGACAGCCCTGCGGCCCCGGCGACCCACACGAATACTTGGGCATGCCCCGCCCCCAATTAAGGAGGCGGGGCTTCTCCGTGTGGGTCGCCCCACCACCGGGATCCGGCGGGAGGATAACTCCTCCCCCGGGCCCGTGCACTCGGGTACCTCGGGGTCGCGATTCCCGTACCGCAGCCGATGGAAAAAGTCGGCTGCGGCCCCTGAGGGTTGTCTTCAGACCCCTGATGAAGCTAACTGCAATGCTGGCGAAACGTTGAGACAATAATTCCTTAAGGATACGGCTTACACCCGGAAGCCTCTCAACAGTGATAATCAGTTTTAATTGTCAGCTGGTCAATTAAATAATGAAAGGAGGGTACTTCAGATAGGGTTAAGGTGGTACCCTGTGTCTCGATTGATATTATTAAGGTTTTACATTATTTCTATTGTTTCCTTGTATTTTCGAAGGAAGTATCCCTTGCAGTTGGCGAAGACCTTAGTTTTGTCGAACAGAATCTTATGTCTTGTAGCCAATTGATGTTCCTCTACTGCCGATTGTACATAACCCAATCAGACGCACTTCTTATGTTCCTTGAACCGTGTGATCACGCTCCTCCCAGTTTCTCCGATGTAAACTATTCCGCATGAACATGGTATTTTGTAGAATCCTGGTGTAGATAGCTGCGGATCTTTGGGGGGAGGTGAGGATCTGTACAATCTTGGTGTGTGGTATGAAAATTGTTTCGTTATTGTTCCGTTTTAGCATTCTACTAATTTTGTCTGTTCTACCTTCGATATATGGAACGAGGGCTATGTTGGTTTTGTTCCCTGGTGTTTTGGGGACTTTGTTGTCTTGTTTATCGTGGTATCAGCATTCTTTTGATTATTTGTTCAATTTTCTTTGCGTTGAAGCTGTTGCGTGCCCTTGCAAGGGTTTTCGCGATAACGATGGGTTCCCCGCTCGTGGAGCGCTGATCCGCTTTGCTCGTGTTCGATCTGCGTGTCTGTTTTCAATCTCGATGAAAAAGGGATCTGGATACTCTTCAAATGGAATATTACTTTAAAAAAAGCTTAAATAAAGATAAAAGGAAATTTACTCCTAGCTATGAAACTAATTTACTAATTTACTATACAAATTGCAATACACAAATAATGCGACTTATCCCTTTTGGCGCTAAGATTCTAACGATTCGGCACGAACTTGTGTGATGATCTAATAGTATTTGACATGCCAACCATTGAAACAACAGAATAAACAGCATACTATGTATGTTACTAAATTGGATAATTAATAATTATTCGAACCTAAATCACATAAATTAATCATCGATAGAAACATTTAATGAAAATTTATCATCTCGAATAATTTATAACTGTTGTTACAAACTGCATTAAAAGGGCATTCAAGGAAAGGTTAGGTTAGATTTTTCGTGAAATTGTTACGAAATAAATAATACCGTGGCTAATTCACCAGGAGAAAGGCATGTTCAGAGCGCAGTAGCTTTTTCTATAATCGTGAGAAGAGCAGTCCAATCAACGGGGACAAAGAACGCGAAAGTGAAAAGGCGGAGGCGGAAAATGCAGCTTTTAGTGCTCTCCTCTAAGTCAAGAGTTCTCACGATCGCGTTGGTGGAATTGTTATCTGATACAATGATCACTGTTGCATAATTTCAACTCAAGAAATGAACAAACCAAGTAACAGATGATCGATTAGTTTCTTTAAAAAAGAGAAATGATTACATCTTACATCAGAGTAATAATTTAGCCTTCTAGCAAAAAATATGTAACTTTTATAAAATATTGTATTACGATTAATGCATATATGTATTTATATATGCTATAAGAGATAGATTTTGTTTTACTAACCCATTTATACATCACAGTTAGAAATGAGTCAATATATTTATTACATGGTGCAGTTTGGATCTGTGCTGGATCTCCTAAGGAACCGGTGTCTTAGACACAAGGAGCAGTTAAGCTCAGAACAGTGGTATTTGTACGAAGAGGAGCCTAGGTGAGTATTTGCGAAAAAGGTTGATGTTTCCCCTATTTGTTTTGTTAGTACTTAGTTGTTTTCACATATTTGATTAGAAGTAAAATTTACAATAAATATTACCATTGTAATTCTGACGTATCATTTCCTGAAGGACAATCAATAATACAAGTTGGCTTTTTTTTTTACGTAATCCCGTGCGATAATCTACTTTCAGTCACTTCAGCACTGTGGACTGTCGACAACATCCACACCTCTTTTCTATCGAACCATCGCATTGCCAATAAATTATTAGTAGATTCATATTCAAATTCTCCAAGCTTGATTTTTTTTTCATCTGCGGCATCCCAATCCTGTTCTTTCTTGCAGTCCCGTATGCATTATGCTTATGGAGTAATGTATACAAACGTGGACTTGTATACCAATTATCAGTAATTAGTGTAGGATGTTGCGTCGCAAACGCAACCGTTGACTTTATGGCACGGACGACCGTGTGTGGGCCGCTTCTTTTTATCCGCTCCCAGATGCCAAAGCTTCTTTATCGGATAGACTGGATGTGAGTGTTATTAGCGTCTTGATGTCGGTAAGGCAGTTGCCTTCTTGACTGAGCCTAGAAAAAATTTTCAAAAAAACCCTAGTACATGATGTGTCCCACCCAGGGGATAGAGCAATCCAAGATCATGCGCCGAGGCGCAGGAGCACCCGGAGATGTCGGCGAATGGCCCAGAGATGATAAACCAGGGGGTGACGATGTCGGTGGTGTCAGGGATGTCCAGGGGTCCGCCCCAGGGACCTCCTTCAGCAGCAGCTGAGCAGGAACAGACGAATCCGAAGTGGCCATTTGCGATATTTGTGTGGACCGCTGCTTCCTTTCCGTTTTTACATGGTTCTTTGCCCGTTAGAACCGTGGAAGCCCTGGGGTGGGGGTGCAGCCTGCGCTCATCCTTGTTTAAGGCCCCCTGCGGCTTGGGTCCTGCGGTCGTTGTCTAGGCGAGTCGCACAGCGCCTTACACTCCCCTTGCATACGAAAGATTTCAGTAATTCTCTCAGTGTCCACCAATTTGGATTCTCAGTGTCCACGCAGATGGTCCTACACCTAGGTTGCGTCATTGCTGCGCCTATGTTGTCTTGCTCGCAGTCAGTCAAGCGTGTAACGCTCCGCGACCCGTTTTTTTACGAGATTTCACGGCTTGACAGTTCATAGCAGAATAATATAACTTTTTTAATTTCACTTTTTTCTACCTCTTTTAGTCTTGTCTAATATGCCTTGATCCATCGGCTGAATCAGTGACGTATTGGGCGGCAAATAAGTTATTTTGAAGTCTCCATCCTCTTGCAGTGCTGGCGAAAACCTTGTGTCCCTCACAATTATCTAATAATAAAATCATTTTCCCGGATCTGCGCCTTTGTTCTTGAAATTCTACAATCTACAGATATTGTCCTGTCCATCCACGCATTCGCTTGTGATTTAAAAATGACGGGCAAGCTAACTGAATGTTTTAAAGCCCTTGGGTTTTTATATCTATGTATTACTGGGGGATTAATTTTATGTGTACCTAACGCGTTTGCACATAGTCCAATAGTAATTCTGTCCTTTGGAATTTTACCACCACTTATATTCAGTTCTGTCACTCGCGAGTGTTTTTCTTGAAAGAGACTTCCACACAAGTCCACTTTCATCCATATTTGTTTCTTAGCCGAGTAGGCCAACGCGGAATGCCGGAACCGCCCAAACGTGAGCGCAGAAAGTGAAGGTAAATTGTGGGTTTAGCGACTACTGTCGCGAGATTAAACAGTTTGGCGTGAAGTTCTTTTTATTCCGGAACAACAGAATCGAGCTCGTACAGAACGGGGAGAAAACGGATAGTAAGACACGCTGATTTCGAATGTAACGCGATCGTAATTGCCCCCAGGGAAGGGGCGGCACCGGGCGTGGTCCCCTGGCGCCGCCGAGCCTATGG